GGCCCACCCTGTACATATATATATTAAATGTGTCTTTCAGATTAGAAAAATCATAACTCTCTTATCTTGGATTTTTAAGTTATAAAATTTTGGTGGATTATAGTTGAAAGGTTTCCGAACACAAAAAAAAAATATTTGATTCCATGAGTTCAATCAACTTTCCAGAAGGAACGTCGAAAATGGAGGTACAGGCCCTATAGCTGACGTATTTTTAAATCTATCTTTCAGATTGGAAAAATCCTAACTTGCTTATCTTGGATTTTTTTGGCATAAAATTTTGATGAATTAAGCTGAGAGTGCTGAGAGGTTCCTTAACATATACAAGAAAAGGTTCTATTAGGTTCATCCATTTTCCAGGAAAAACGTTGCAAATGGCGGCAAAGCCCTTATAACTAACATACCTACCTATTATTGCATGTGTCTTTCAGATTGATAAAATCTTAACTCTCTTATCTTTGATTTTTGGGTTATAAAATTTTGGTGGAGTATAGTTGAAAGGTTCCTGAACATATAAGAAAATATTTGGTTCCATGAGTTTGATCAACTTTCCAGGAGAGACGTCGAAAATGGAGGTACAGGCTACAGGCTTTATATAGTTCGTTCATACCAAATAAACTTGTAGTTGTGACATCGATGACGCCATTTTTAAAATCGTTATGGCCAACCGTGAAATTATTCGGCGTCGGATTGACTTAATTGGAATTTGAATTTCCCGCTGGTCATTCAGTTGGTAACACCACTTCAAAAAATGTAATGTTGCCAAATGAAATTCTTGACATTTTGAATTTTGATTGCGTTTTGGCAGTTTACGAGTTGTTGGTTTGAGTGCTATTTATTGTGAGCTAGTTTTTCAAAAACAGGTTATAGTGCGAAGTGTACAAGATGCCGAAGCAGCTTAACAGCCGTTGCAAAGAACTAATCGCATCCTTGTTAGAATATTTCGAACGAGAACGCGATAATAATGGCCCTTTATGTCCCCTAAATGCTGTTAGGAAGGTGAGTTCACAAGTCGTTGATGTCGTGTGACCAAATAGGAATTTCCAATTTGAACTTTATTTTCTCTCATTTTTAGCGCGTAGCAGAGGCTTTGAACTTAAGTATGTCCACTGTCTGTGCTATTTCAAAGGCAATCAAAAATAACGAAGTTTTGGAATCGCCTTCTAAGAAACAATGCACTTCAAAGAGAGTCTGTGATGTTTCAAAGCTCGATAACAGTGCTATACGATGGAACTTCCTGATATTGCTGTTAAACGCATATCATTTTTGAGGTCTTATCTAAGACTGAAACAGGAGGCTTTGTAGAGCTTTGTACCAGTTTGTTTTCTTTGACGAGACTTGATTGTTTCAAAATGGTACCATTAATCGCTCTTGGCAAGACAATAACAAGCGACGTGTTAAAACTACGAAAGTTGATGGTCAAAGGTGAATATAAACATGAATACAGAGAGCAGTTGTATTAGATGTACAAATTAAATGCTTTTTTTAGATATATCGTACTTCATGCTGGCAATGAAAATGGATTGATTGAAGGTGCATCGCTCGTATTTTCATCGAAAACTCAACTTAACGACTATCATGGGGAAATGAATCAGCAAAACTTTGTACGTTGGTTCGAAAATCAGCTGCTGAAGAACTTGACTGAACCATCTGTCATTGTTATAGACAATGCTCCTTACCACAGCATGTTATTAACGAAGACACCTAATAGTTCGTCTTCCAAGGCTGAAATTCAAAATTGGTTAACCGAACAGAAAGTTGAGTATCCAAATACAGCATTGAAATCTGAACTTGTTACCATTGTTGCAAGGTAAGTTACCTACAATACCAAAATTATATGCATTTTATGCTCAACTTTTCAAGTATTGATTTTTCAGGAATAAACCAACAAAAAAGTATGTGGTAGATGACTTGGCAGAACAGTATGGATATAAAGTTTTACGACTACCTCCATGCCACTGCACTTTTAATCCGATTGAATTTATTTGGGGAATTGCAAAAATCTATTATAACCGACATATTGGCAGAGATGGTTATACTTAAGATGCTTGTTCAAAAATGTGGCGAGAGGCACTGGAAACTGTTACCCCTGAAATGTGGAAATAATTGACGAGTGGTATAACAGGGAACAAGTAATGGACAGGCAAGAGGTTCTTCCACTTTTTATCAATGTTGATGAAGACTCTAGCGATTCTAGCAATTTCAGTGATCCAGAATAATTGAAAATATTTTTGATGGTTCAAATATTCATAATATTTTATTATTTATAGTATTTAGAGTGGCTGTAAATAAAATGGGTACTGATTATATTTTATGTGATGATTGACAAATGAGTTGTTATTAAATATCTATTAAACCAAGCTTTGAAACAATGTTTATAATTCAAGTAATAAATGTTTGCATTATATTATAATATAATCCATTATTTTTTCTGAAAATATTTTGACCAAAGGAAAATATGCAAGAGACGGCAACGCTGTGCCGGTCGAGCTTGACAACCCAACTATAAGTTTATTTGGTATGAAGTATAGCGCTGACGTATTATTATAGTTATTAATGATACAAGTTCGATATGAACGCCATAATGAAACGCGTGTAACTTTAAACCACGAGGCGTTAGCCGAGTGGTTTAGTTACACAAGTTTCATTAATAAAGTTCATATCGAACGTGTATCATTCAAAATTTAATCTACAATGGTCCAAATAGATTTGATTTGCCTTGAAATAGCAAAAACTTCTCAAATTAAAATTTGAAATTTAGCAGGTGCCCGTACTAGTCGAGAACCTGGCTTGTTGGTTTTTAGAATTTTGACTTTGGCAGCTTCAATATTGGAGTCCATTTTTGTGCCATAAATTCAATTTTATAGTGGAAAATAATATTATTATTGGTGATTCTGAGTTCGAAAGTGTCTCTTCGAATATAGAGACAGCATTATTGAAAAGGTTCTTCTGGCAACTAACTTTCTTTTTGTATATTTTTCATTTCAAAATTTGGGTGTTATTATGAATTCTTAAACGCACTAGTGCTATTATGAAGGACCTAATGACATTCAAATGACGATGCTAAATGTGTCATAATGACACCGACGTAGATTAAATGAATTTTTCAGATTGAAAAAAATCCTAACGCCCTTATCTCTTTTAGCCTAAAATTTGGGTGGATTAGAGTTGAAAGGTTCCTAAACACATAAAAAATATTCCTTTCTATTAGGTTTAACCATTTTCCAGAAAAAACATCGATAATGGAGGTATAGCCCTTATAACTAACATATTGTTTAATGTGTATTTTAGTTCTGTACATACTGGCGAACGCGTCACAGTATTATTAAAGATATCTTTCAGATTGAAAAATTCTAACTATCTTATCTCGGATTTTTTGGTTATACAATTTGGGTGAATTAGAGTTAAGAGTTAAGAGAATAAGGAACCAACCTGACTACTTTCTAGTGACGGCTATTGAAGTTCCAGCCTGACGATTTACTGCTAAGGTTGGGTAATTATCTCTTTGTAGTAAATCCTCTATGTATTCTTTTTGATCACAAGACTCAAAAGCTGATGGTTATTTTTCTATGAAAGACACATTACACAAAGTTTTCCGAAATTGTAATAAATGGGAAGCGATTTCTGACATAAATTTATATAGGCAACCAATAGTAGGAAGTTAAAGTAAGTAGGTATTTATGGAACTAGACCAAAACAAGGCATGACAATCGGGATAAATAAGACCAAATTGACAGCCATATAGTTAGTTTGTTGTTATAAACAAAACAAGCAGCACGTCTTGTCCAGACCAAATTAATTGATGGTAGTAAAAATCTACATTCGCCTTGATTTGGGTTCAAACTGCTTACTTGAAAGTCTGAATGGCTGCCCATGGATTGCAAATCGGACCATCTAAGGGTAGGGGATGCATGAAAAGGCCGACCATTTAGACTCTAGTATGAATGGGAAGGAGTAGAGTCCATGCAAATGATGCACAATAAGCCACAATGAGCTTCAGTGCAGAGCATGGGCTCGAAAGGATGAAAAACAAAACCTACTTGAAACCTCTGTCAGTGAGACAGCTTTAGAGAGACAACCATAGAAAAGTGATTTATATTGTTGATATAGAACGCTCACTTCTGTTGTAGTCGCCAAGTGACATTTCCGAGGGTGCTGCCATAGCGGTGTAGTCATTGAACTAATATTTGGCGGGCCATTTGAATCTCGGTTTTAAATGACTGGTTTGACATTTCAATTATTTCAAAATAAGGCAGTATTTCAAAACTTCATAAACTAAAATTTTATACATTTTATTTTCATATATGGTATTTATGTGAGAATCACTTAATGAATAAAATAGTCTATCACCTATCCATAGATGATCTGGCGTATCTGACTCATGAGCTAACTGAAACACTTTCCAATTTGCTTTTTAAAAATGTCCATTTTTCCAGTTAAAAGGCTGTGATATTTCATCAAGTTATTTATAATTCTCTCGAGCATGTATGGAGCAAATGATGGAGCATCATACAGTGACACGATTTCTAGGTTGTTTATCTCCAACAAAACCAAAATTTCTGTTTCTGTGTTGTTTTTGATGTAGATTTTCCTGGTCTGTGGCTTCAATTCGCTTTTGGCCGATTCATTTTTTGCCGCCTGGTCACACACTGTGTGCTTATAATGATGCACTTATCACTTCTTTCACAGTCTTGGAATTCAAAACAATCAACGACATGCACTCAACAAATTAATTCAGATGACAACATGACATTTTCATTATGATGGTAAAGGGACACCTGCATTTTTATCACTGGTTTTTATATACACGATTCTATGTTGTCGGTCATTGTCATTTTCTATTCACTAAACAAAGTTGAGAAACGGCGATATGGGCGCACAGCGGTGTAGTCACGAACTAAAACAAAATGTGGAGGGGATGAATCCAGTGAATGTTCTATTTAAGAATTTATAAATCACTTTTCTATGGACACAACGAAGTTTCTCATAAATAATAAATACATTTGCTTCAAAATATAACTATTGATTTTATTTCCAAAAAAGCTACAAAAAGGTAACTTCACCTATGACTACAATAAAATGTGCATATAATAGGAACACATCTCTAAAACAAGATATTATAATATTAGCTATAAAATATTCTTTTTAGTATAAGTATACATCTTATTAAAATATATATTGCACTTGTTGCTTTTTCCCAGCACATTTAAGGTCCCTTAGATGAGTATATATTGACTAATCACAAATCCCTGACAAAATAACGCAAACTTAAAAAATTGATTCACCATTTCGTCAGGATTATCTTTCACTTTCCGCTGTCAAACTAAAAAGCATTCTAAAGCTAAAGTTAAAATAATGCCATTTTATGATCTACTATGGTAAGCGTAAGTTTTCCTATCTTTTTGCCACTTCATTGCCTGCACTCTTTAACCTCCCTCTGGCCCAGTGGTAAAGTGGGCCTGAAATTACTCTTGACAAAACCCTTGAATTCGTCACAAGGACAAGAGTCTTTGTTGCTGTAGCATCTGAGACTTCTGAATTCTTTAAGCTGAAAATCGGACAATATGTATTTTTATTTAAAAAAAAAAATTATATTCATACTCACTTGCTCCTCGGATACTTCAACTGGCTCCTTAAAAACGATCCAGATAACGCATTCAGAACAAGGTGGTGTGGTTAAAGAGCCATGGTAAGTGTAATAGCCGCTGTTTTCCGGTAGAAATTCACCAGGATTGATTGGCTGCAAAATTTTAGCTGACTCGCCTCTGAATTGGATTTTGCTTAATTGAGCCACAACTTTCTCTAGTTCCAAATGTTTTTTGCCTGGCTAGAATCAAAAAAATTCTATGTTTTATGAAATATATACAAAGCTGAAACTTACTTTTAAGAAAACTCCAAGGACAGCCAATCCATCAGGTTGCTTGGCAGCTTCATCAAAAGATAAATATTTTGTTGTGTTCCAGTGAACTAAATGCAACTAAAAGCAAACTATTTATTACATACAAGCACATCTAAATTATTGTTCTACCTCTCCAGCAAATTTTTGTCCATTAATAGTATGCTCAGATCCTTCATCGTTTGTCTTACCCCAATGGCAATGAAACTGTTCCAGAACATAGACGCCTTCAAGAGGACCTCCATTGAGTTCCGATCCTTTACCATCAACGCCAACTTTCCAGCCATATCCGGGATTGCACACTTCCCTAGTATTTTCCGGAACATACTTCCAAGTTAATTTAGCGTTGGTGTTCAGCGACTTGAGGTCTACGGGTCGAATATCGATGGGACTTTGACGGGTTCCTGCTGCTGCCGGATAACTTTGGCACCATTTTTCTGGACCTGGAATTGAACTATTATCAGGTCGATTACTTATTGATTAGGTACTACTGCAAGGTTAACTTTGAATTAAATTGCTTCTTGTGTATGCGTCAACGTGAATCGAATACGCTTCACATGATGGACTTTAAATGAATAGGCTGGAAGAATATTAACGAGGAAGGATACGGTTTTTGTTTGCTAATTTAAATTCGGAAGTACTTTGTCTGCATTTTAATAAGCGTGGTACTTTGGTGATCGATTATTTGGTGGTTTATTATAAGTCTTGAGACTCTTGAGAGATTTTGTTTTGGTATACCTACAAAAACAGTCTTATTGGTTACTGCCAATGGATTTGGTGGCCTTCAACCTTACCATTACATACAAATATCATCAGATGTTTTCATTATTTAGACTTTGGACATAGGTACTCAAAAGTATATACTTACGGATATCATCATTTTACTAAAGGTGTCTCTCGTCTCTGTCTCCATATGAAAACGTTTCCAACTCTGTATAGTTCAGACACGATGGAAATTATTAAAGTTAATATTGTTTATTATTACATTTAGTATTGCTGATTGCTGGTAGGAATATTCATGTTTCAAAATTTGAAAACCAAATCCCAAAAGCTAAATGTTACGCATCTGTAGATTTATTTTACCTATTGATCTACATGAACACTGATCGATTAGGTACCTAATTATGCGTATTTCCTTAAAAAGTTTTATTCAAGGTCTTGATTGGAATTAGGACGGTATTATTTCGGTTGCTTTTATTCCAAGTTTCACGATATTCAATATAAACAAAACAAATTGTATAATTTTTCACCTGGTACAACATCCTTCTAGCTATACAATTTAATTACAGTAAAACGTTTTGTAGGTCGTAACCTTTAATTTAAAAGTTCTTTTGTATAGTGGGTAAGGCTGCATGCAACGCTACAACGCACAATTTCGTTTGGTTGTTTGATTGAATTTTCTTGACCTTTCGATTTTTGACTGTACCAAAAATAATACACCATGAAACACTTAAGTACGCATAAAAGTCGAAAATAAATCGGGCGGAACAAGCTTTATTTTGATTAAGAGTATAAACACTCAACTGTCCTGGCACTATTTCAATTTTCCGCGTTAGCTTGTTTGTTCTCATCTTTCAAGTTTTTGGAAAATTAAATAAATTTCTGGATTCTGATAATTTATAGGTTTATTATTTTCCGCATTTTATTTTTAGAAATTAAAAGTTCAACGCATCAGTTCGCGTTTGGAAATTAGAGCAGTGCATTTCGAAACCCATTTATGTTAAGAAGTTTAACGAACTTAATGCATGCTGTAAAAGGAAATTGCACCAGGCGGAAAATTAAAACCTTTGTCTGTATAGAAAGCCGCAATAATTACCTTTGTTGCAATTCAGCAATTTGCCATTAAAAATTAATAATGTTTCTATGTGAGAGGGTTTATTGAAGATTCAAAAAAATCTTTCAACTCTTTGATAATATAAAAGTTCGATTTCCCAGTGACTGCATCTATCTTATACTGAGGTAAGGTGCGAAAGAATGAATTTACAGATGTTGATCTCTTCTCTCTGAAATTTACTATGACAAGAGAAAGAAATTTAAAGCTCTATGATTTGGAGCTTATAGGAACTGCGTTCACCATTTTAAATTCATATTGGTCCTGATTATAGCAATCTCAAGAGTCAAAGGTAATATGTCGAAGTGCTCTTGGAGGACTATCAACCAGACATCTTGGATCTGCAGGAGATCAAGGATAAAGATCAACCAGAAACTTGTTGGGGGTGATGGAACCTATACTATTTCAACCAGCCAAAGTGGAGGAGTAGCAATGCCACAAAACAATATAAAAAGTAAAAACACATTATTGGCTCAATAAGTTCTGCCTAAACTTCACAAACTTTTCTTTTCCTAACGACTTCGTAAACACATCAAAACAGTTATCATTGGAACAAATCTAAATAATTTCCATTATCTTTTTCTGACAAAGGTCTTCAATGAAATGATACTTAATTTCTATGTTTTTACCTCGCTTGGAGTTCTCAAAGTTTTTAATCATGGAAATAGCACTTTGATTGTCTATTTTTAAAGTAACAGGTTTGCACTCGCCAAAGTCTGCTAAAATACCTCTCAAATTGACCACCTCCTGAGTTGCGCAACCAGAACCAGCTGCTATATACTCAGCATCTATTGAAGAAAGGGCTACACAACTCTGCTTTCATGAGTGCCAAGCTATTGGATTTCTGTCTTGGAAACATATGAAACCACTTACGCTCTTCCTTGTCTACCTATCACCAGCCTAATCTTCATCACATATAGCTTCTAAGCCTCTATCATTTTTCTCATACATCAATCCATAGTTCTTAGATCCATTAGGGTAGCGCATAATTCTTTTTCCAGCTTTCCATGCTTGTATTGTTGGCTTGTCCAGGTATCGGCTTAAGTAACAAACACTATAAGCGATATCTGGTCTTATCACCAATGCCAAGTACATCAGACTGCAAATCAGCCTTCTATACGGGATATTTTCTTCTATAGGTTCCATGTGGAAATTTACTTCCATCGGTGTCGCTATGGGTCTACTATTTTCCACGACTCTTTCAATAGTCGTGTGATCATTTTTGTCTGGGTGATCTTGATACCTCCTTCGTTTTTATTTATCTCCATTCCCAGAAATGTCTTCACTTCAATTATATTCTTAACCTTGAATTCATTATGCAAACTGTCCACTAATTTGTCCACTTTTTCTTTTGGTCCCGTTATCAATGCATCGTCCACAAACAACACCAAATAAACATCGTCTTTAACATACAAACAATAGTCATATTGTGATCTTCTAAAATTTAGTCTCAACATTACTTCACTTAACTTCATGTTCCAACACTTCGGTGCGTTACGCAGTCCATACAATGCCCGGTTAAGTTTTAAATACTTTCAGTCGCTTCTGAGTCCCTCTGGCCTCTTGATATACACTTCACTGTTCAATTGACCATTTAGGAATGCGGTTGGCACATCTATCTGGCTCAGTATCCAGTCTTTTTGCACTGACACTGATGAAGTTAAAAGTCTAATTGTAGGAAGTCTGCACACTAGTGCATAAATAAACTCTTCGCCCTCTTGTGGTACCTGAAAACCCCTTGCTACAAGTCTCGCTTTCTTCGTGCCATCCTCTTTCACCTTAAAAATCCATCGCGTATCAGTTGCTTTTTGTCCTTAAGGTAATTCGGTTGGCGTCCAGGTGTGTAATTTTTCATGAGATTTCAACTCATTGTTTATTGCTTTTAGCCACTCTTCAGATTCACTGGCTTCTTGATATGTTTTTGGCTCTTCCTGACTCTCTGAGAGTAAACAATATGCCACATACAGCTCATAATCATCCAGGTTTTTAGGCTTTCTTGTATTTCTTCTAGATCTAGTTACTTTACAATCTCTCGCTGGTATATCTTCAGGATCACTTGGGCTTCCACTGCTTTCATCTAAACTTTCATATTCTATATCTTCATCTCCCGCAATTTGTCTCTCTTCTTGAGTATTCTCTGTCTCATTCGAATTTCTATATTCTTCTACTGTTATAGGTATGTAATTATTTTCCTGTTTCTCTACATTCTTGAATTCCATAATAGACTCACCAAACCTAACATCTCTTGATCGAATGATTCTTTCTTCTGTAGGTGACCATATTCTGAAGCCTCCTCCACAATATCCCATCATCACTGCTTTTACTGCTTCTGGATTTATCTTGTTTCTTTTTGGTATATACCATGCTCGACAACCGAAAACTCTTAATTTGGTCCAATCATTTCTTCCGTGCCAGATCTGTGATGGTGTCGTTCCTTTTGGTAAAACTGATGTCGGGGTTCTGTTGAGTTCATATGCAGAAAACTTCACAGCTTCTTCCCATAGTGTTTTTGGAACGCCGGAATTAATTATTTTTGTTCTTATCATATTTAACAAAGTTCTGTTGATCCTTTCAGATTTACCGTTCATCTGAGGACTGTAGGCCATTGTATATTTTAATTTAATCCCCTTTTGTCTGCAAAAATCTTTAAAACTTCTTGATGTAAACTCTCTTCCATTATCTAGTCTGAAACGTTTCACTTTTACATTATGCTGCGTCTCTAACTCGAGTACATAATCTCTCAGATTTAATTCTGCTTCATGTTTATTCTCAAGTAACTTCACAATAACAAAATGCGAGTAATCATCAAGAATCACTTGAGAATATCTTTCTCCATTTACTGTGTTAGGTGTCACAGGTCCACATAGATCACTATGAATCAATTCACCTATGGCTGTTGTACGTATCTCAATGGTTACAAATGGAGAACGTGTGGCTTTCCCTTCAACACAAGTTGTCTGAAGTTTTCAAACCTAGCTGTGACAGAACATCTTTACTTGCATGCCTAAGTCTTCGGTGCCATATATCATCATCTATGGTAAGATTTCATTCCTCTTTTGTCCTATCAATGCTATCTAGCGTAAGTATCTACAATCCGTTTCTATTCTGGCACGTTAAAGCAAAATTTTTACCTCTTATTGTAGTTTGGTCTTTTTCCACTAAAATCATTTTTGATGCTGACATCAAGTTATGCTTTATTTTTAGTACAATCAAAGCCTCAATATAAACAGTTTGCCCTTGACAACTTGCTTTTAACTTTCTCACCTTGGTTGTCTTCAAAACTTCTCCGTTGGCAATGCACTTTGATACATTCTGTGGTAAGGTTTTGACATCATGCATATACTGTTCCAATTCTTCTTGAACAAAATGGTTACTTGCACCTGAATTTAATATAAGAGTTACTTTACCCTCAGGTACAGTATTACATACATTTGCTGCATACAGCACAACTTGATCGTCAACAGCATTATCTTCTTGCTCCTTGGTTGAAACTTCCACTTCTATGTCCTTTTGAATTATGTATTCTTCCTCTAAACCTGCCTCTGTAATTGCCTCGGTAGTTGCCTCTTATATTGTTAGACCACATATTTCGTTTTGGACACTGTACTTTAA